ATACGATTCACAATTAAATTCGAATATAGCCTGGCATGTCTTAAGTTCTATGAGAGCGAGATCACTTCTCTTTCAGTGCAAAAACTTCTTTATCTCATTTTCATTAAATAAAATGCTATAGTAGCTATTTAACTTTTCCTCTCAATTGGTGAATGATGATTCTGAAAGAAAACATGCCCGATGTCTGTTTGCTATAGAAAAAAAACGCCACTTTCATGCATCTGATTGTCAGATGATCGCACTCTTATTTCAAGGTTGTTGTTAATGCTGTGGTTATTTTAACAGTTTCCTTCGTACAATCGGTTCAACGACATTGTTAAAACACAATTATCATTCAATGAAACTGTGCGTATGCTTTAGACACTTACATGTTTGCTCCGTCCATGCAATAAATGTGCAGCCTTCGACTTCTCAGGTAATGTTGTCGGTATGACCGAGAGCCATTGAAAAACTACAGAAAAGTAAACCTACTTAATTTTAGCATTACTGGCCACAAGTACTAAGGAGAGATCACACATCAGCTGCTCAAAAAATGTGTCAGTGAGACGAACGGAGCGCGAGCGCAATCCTGTGACAGTCACAGGCGGTAAATAATGGAGCACGTGAAGGAGAGATGCGATGGCACGAACACTGTTCAAGGTCTCCATTAATTCGTGCTTGTAGTAATTTAATGTGTTTATATTTTGAAAGCATTGAATCGCTATAGAAATCGCGATTCTTAGCGTTTTAAAACAATTATTGTCCGCAATCGACGATTCAAAAATCCATGTTTCAAGATCGATGCATATGCATCATCAGGGTTTGTTATCAATGCATTAAGAAAACAAGTGAATCGTTACACCCCTACCTACCTACCTTATGCATTTTTTACACAATTTTCAAATAATTTTACAATATCAGCTTGATTTGATATGCTGTACAATAAAAACATATTCTGTTGTGATTTTTCATTATTTAGGGTACAGCAATAAAATACATAAGTCATTCAAAAAATTTTCTGATGAAGGCATAAAAAGGCTTTTCAAGTCATGAATAAATAAACAATCAAACAAACAAACCAGCATACATAAAAAATAAAAAAATTATAAGGGATTTTTTGTAAAAAATCAGGCCCTGGGAAAAAGTGTCCTAAGTTGAAGAAGTATATTCCCTAAATAATTTGCAGTTCATATGAATGTCATCTGCCATTCCAGCGACCCCATATTAGTTTGTAACCCCAAGATTCTGAACCTTCGGCCTAAAACTACAAAGACTATGACAGACTACACCTCTCAGATATTTAAGCGACTCCCTTATGAACACAGGATAAAGTCATGATCGCAGTGCTCCCACTTCACGCTCACCACAACGCAACGGTGCATCAATCACCTGAACATATGGGCCATATTATAAAAACAGAGACCTCTGCACTCTTGGGCCAAGCTATCAGAGGACGGCCCAGCTCTCTGGCTCTCAGCACCTCTATACAATTTCTGTTTGACAATTAATGTTCTTGCAGCGAGTGGGTTCAGGGACGAGAGAACAAGGAGAGGAGGGAAACAAACAGCAAACAGGAGTGTGGGAGCGAGAGGTGATACAGTGTAACATTGCTGCCTGTTTAGGAGCTAATCCATGCTACAAAATTCCCTAAATATTCAGACAATTTCGAAAGATCAGTGACAGCCTGAAGGCAACATCCTGGCAGAGTGGGTAAATGTCAAAGAGAGGATATATTGGGCACACTGGTGAGAGTGTTAGGTGACTCCAAATTGGTAACAAACTTTCAGTGTAGAAGTAAATTCACATAGCATCTGCTTAAAGTTGTGTAAGAGAAAAGTACATTTTATTTTGCATTATTGAGATTTTTCACCCTCATTATTTGGCATCATTTTTCGTCAAATGCTTGAATTAAATTAAGTAAAATAAATAAATAATTAAATAAATTATATATAAATGTGTATAATAATAATCATAATTTTATAATAATTAATATTACAAACATGTAATATAATATATCAGCTATACACAATCAACAATACTCCCCTCTGAGACAGTGAATATAGACATCTGACAGCTGTAAGTCACTATGGTGACTGCAAAGGCACTAAATCAATACTAAACAAATAATGAGTCTGAACAGAAGAGGGGGGTCTCTATGGGGAATGACTTTTGCCCCTAAACATTACATGTCTGGGGCATTTTTATTACTTTCATTGACACTGGTTAATTTCTAGTCTTGCTGTGTGCTTAATAAAGCACCATGGGACACAAATAGCCTGAGATTTAATTTAAAATCTTTGCATTTATAATAAAGAGGCCATAAGAGTCAGATAATGCTTGCTGTGTTTTTGCTAGGAAAGCGGATCTATATGCTATACTTAGAACCAGTTTTTTCAATTTCTAAAGGCATATGTGAACATTAATTCAGCATTTCCCAGCAGAGAAGACTGTTATGTTGTGTTTTACCCAACAGATAGTTCAGATTTTTCCCACCTGTGAATGAAAGAGGAACACTAACAGAAAAGATTTTCCTTTGCGTACAAACAACAACACTGTCAAAATGATCCGCATTCACACGGATTTGGAAAACAACTAAAAAGACTGTTTTATGCATGAGAGGCCAGTATTTAGCAATGTTACTTTGTAAAGAAAGACTATACACTTCTGCACACATACCTATAGAATGAACACGGCATCACATCTCCATTTTTACAAATTTGTGTTTTTGTAGTTTACACGGAAACAATATTGTTTTCCATTAATTAAATTGGAGCCAATTATTCAATTCTGAATTTTGCAGCACTAAACAAAATAAAACAGCCACAACCAGTGGAGATTCAAAGATTTGTGTTTTTGTAGTTTACACGGAAACAATATTGTTTTCCATTAATTAAATTGGAGCCAATTATTCAAATCTGCCACAACCAGTGGAGATTCAAAGAAAAAACAATAAAGTTTTAGTATTTCTTTGGTGCGAGTTACTAATACTGGGAAAACGTGTGTGGTTGTTGCTTTCTCTGTTTTCCTTTGCACAGCAAAGCTGTGATCTGCTGTAGTCCATGAGCAGTAAGTGAAGGAGAGCATCTAGACTTATTCTGGCTTTAGGGGTGGTTGCTTCTGCTCTGAACTTACAGCTAGTTTGAGTCAGGTAGCTTGTTTTATACACGCAAATATAAACACTCTGCCTTGCATACCCTGGAGTGAAAAAAAAAATCCCTGACAAGGGAAGAGGATTCACTGGGAAAACACCAGAAAACACAGGAACTCCAGAACCCCCCTGTGGCTGCATTGAGATAGAGCAGTTATTGATGGAGATCCTGAGCAAGGCGGGCAGCCGGCCCCAGAATGCAGCCTGCTGTCTTTTAAAACGTGATGGTGAAACTGAGCACCAACTGAAAACAAAAAACACAAGACTACAGGATTTGTGCAACAGGGTTTTTCTGACTAAATGTGTTGCTCAATCCAATCGTTTCAAAAGTTTGTGATCTGTGAGATATTTTAATGTTTTTGAAAGAAGTCTCCTACACTCATCAAGGTTTAAGTATTTGATCAAAAAGACAGTAAGCAGTAATATTGTGAAATATTATTACAATTTAAAATAACTGATTTCTATTTTCATATATTTTAAAATGTAATTTGTTCCAATGATGGCAAAGCTGAATATTCAGCATTGACTTCTGTGTCACACGATCCTTCACAAATAATTCCAATATGTAGATTTGGTCTCTCACTGACCTCAAACTGTAAAAGCAGCACCACTCTCTACACCATCATCACATACTCAACCAAAAACACAATATGTACAATCACATACAATCACAAAAGGCTTTCAACATAGGTAATTGTGCTTTTTGGGAGGCGGTTGTAACACTTTGGGTCTTGTAGAGTCTAAAATTGGGTCTAATAGGTTTTGGAATCTAAGTGCAGCTTCATATTAAAAAATCAAAGGTAACATACAAAAGTGAAATCCCAGGAAACAAAACACTGCCAATTAAAATACACATCAAAAGACAAGACTTGACAAAGTCACAAAGGGTTTAACTACACAAGAAATAATTACCTGGGCAAGAAAATGCTTGAACACAATCAGGGAAGCCAGACAAAAGACAAGAAACCTTAAACAAAACCTACATAACTATAACAGTTTGGGTGGGCAGGAATTACCAGATTTTAGTGTTCTTCCAATTTAATATCTGAATATAATACAATCCATGAAAAGGAAAGAAAAAAAATCTAGGCCCAAAAGCCCTTCAGGGTGTCATTTACTAAAATGCCATCTAGGTAATTAAGTAAAAGCAACCACAATTTATTTTATGTTTTCTGGCAACTTATTAACAATGATGAATTCTGAAATTGTGAACACAAAGAATCATTTCCTTATTCAAATTCGATTAACTCCTTTCATGTAAATGAGCAGATGCCAGGAGTACAATGAAGTGCCAAAAAAAAAAAGAAGAAGAAAGAAATTACATATTAAGGTTTATAAGGCAATGCTGTAGGAGTTCAAAAAAGGAAATATTGTAGTAGCATACACAATAAATAGATAATAGACGTGTGTATGAAAAACACATCAGCCATAAATGAAAAGGCCCGCTGTGAAATGAGAAAGTATGAACTCAGGTGACATGTCCATGAAAATATAGTTTAAAAATGCCACTCACCCACAGTGAGCTGTCCTGTCAGCTGGCCAAGGTTATTTCGTGCATTCACCGTCACATTGCGGTCTGACTGTAAGACCAGAGGACTGTCCTGAAACACACACACATCGAAGACATAAACTGATTATAGGACCCTGCATAATAAAAGAAGATAAACAAGTTAAAGCAAGACAGGAAAAAGGAAAATAATGTCATGTTGTAATGGCATTTACATAAACCATACTAGTTTAAATTTAAATCAGAATCATGAAAATAATTAAAATAATAGATATGAAGTTAATGTGTTCAACATGAAGCTATATGTGATATCTGAGCTGTCAGAGACTGTGTGTGTGTGTGTACATGGATGAATGCACTCTGGTTGGCCGGGGTGTGTGTGTCTGTGTGTTCATGCATGCAGGGGTGCATGCTGTGGATCACTGGATTCAGTGTCTTCTTGTTCTGTGCAACTTTGATCCTACTGACCTATACATCTTCTTCCACAACAGAACCTCTGCTGTGGCTCTGAATAAACACACACCATACAATGCATCTTAACCCCAGTCACATTCATGAATGTATTCAATTATGAAATCACCTCATCATATATAAAGTCTCTATAGTCAAGATTAAACCATTACACATGTTTCTATACTTTCTATTATTAAGAATGATTTTGTGTGTTACATTTATAAACTGATCTGAGGCTCGATCTTTTTTTAATGCTTAAGAATCTGGGCATGAGAATTCAGCCCTTAGATTAGCTTCAAAGCACAGCACTCCCTTTTGACATTGATCGACCTGCCAGCCAACCAGATCAATATATCGACAATGAAGTACAGTGAAGGTCCACAAGAGCAGGTTCCCCATTTCTTCGCTTTCTGTGTTTTTTTTGTTGTGCAGTTAATGTGTGGCCATGTGTCTTCACTTGTGGACAAAAACACAGTCTACAGTTCACGTAAGTAATAAACATGTAGTGACAGAATGGTTTTCATACAGTAGTATAGAAACATGTGTAATGGTTTAATCTTGACTATTTTCATTGGCAGGGCAAAAACAGATCAATCAACAAGAAATACTGTAATTATTGATTAATAATAATACTAATACTAATAATAATACTAATACTACTACTACTACTAATAATAATAATATTTATTATTATTATTATTATTATTATTATACAGTTAACACACAATGATAATTTATACAATATTATCTACAATTATTTTATTTTATTTTACTAATGTTTTATGGGGACTTTTCATAGACAATGATTTTTATACTGTAAATACTGTATATTCTACACACACCCTTACCGTAAGCCTACTCTGGACATTTCTGCTAGACATTTGGTCCCCACAATGTAGACAAAACCTCACACACACACACACACACACACACACACACACGTGTGTGTCGTAAAGTAATTTATTCATAAATTAAAACATCAGAATGTTGCCTTCAAATATTTTTCAATCAAGTAGGCCTGCACTCCTGTGGAAACTCCCTTTACAATCAAAGAAGCTAATCAAAGAAGCTAAACTGTAAATAATTGCTTATTTACATTGAGTCTACACTTGCTGTACATAAAATAAGAGGACTTAAAGGATGTCAAAAAGGCACAGAAAGAAATAAACCAAGTCATTCATCCATGCACAGTACTTATAGTTACACGTCAGTGGCAGAAGCCAACTGTTTTATATTATAGTGAGGAGTACTTCGTCGATCGCTTGAACAATATAATCAGTTTGGAGCTGCAGTATCTGCACTTGCTGTCTCACACTGTATAATTAGATCCAGATGATGTCAGTCTAATGGAGTAAAACACTATCTTCTCTAATTACCTCAGAAACACCCTCCTACCCAACACTACGTGTTCTGCCACTAGATGTGGGATGTTCAAAGCTGAGATGGACAGTATTATTGTTTTTGATCATGGGTAAATGAGCAGTGCAGCAGACGGGGATCATAAAAGGACACATTCAAATCAAAAGTGAGCAATGACAGGGTAGTGAAGGTTTATGCATATGATAAACTCATACAAGCAAGCTTTTACATGTTTATTTGAATTGCTCTAGCTTGACATAGACCTTCAACACTCAACATTCAGCAGTATGTTGAATACTTCTTTTATCTAAACCCAACACGACTGGCTTGTGAAATTAGTCACCTGGCAGCTCAGAAGCTGACACATGCAAATAACCTCCTAGACATTTACACGAAAAGAAGCCACTTCGGCTAGAGTGTTATCCTTTAATCTGATCTATATTTCCATTCCAATCAAACAGATCCAAAATCTGTGTCCAAGCTTCAACGCCTCATTCTTCTCCTTCCATCCTTACACAATGCAAAGCAGGACACCGAATGAAGAGAGATAATTTGTGTGAATGTCATTCAGGCATGACAATTCTGTGTTCCTCCCAGATGTCCACCTGTTCTTCATTATCTCTCTTTCATTGTTTTTCCTCTCGTTTAATGACACACTTCAATCCCACACACCTGCTGAGATCCTAAATTTAGACATCTTTTTTATCTGCTGTGGTGACCCCTGTGATGTCCTAACTCAGTGGGTTCTGTTTGATAGTTAATCACAAAATCATTGGTGGGATTAAATCCATGTAGACCTTGTTTCTCAGAAGTACTAAAACAATCATGCACTGTCCAGAAAGAATGGCACAATGAATTAAAATCAGTCTGTACTTTACAGTGTTCATGATCCCATCAATTCGGACATTACCAACTGACAGATACACAGCCCTAAACCAGGATAGACCTCCAACGTGTTTTACTGAAGGCCGCACAAGCACTCATTCTACTATCTCTCTCCAACTCTTCTTCTCACGGATTGTCAACTACTGGACCTAAAAACATCAAACTTGGATTTGTTACTCCATAATACTCTTTTCCACTGATACTCATTCCAATTTTTTGACAACTTTTGCATATCTTACCCTTCTGAAAAAAATAAAAATAAAAAAATGATTTGTTGGCTTCTGCCCTTCCACAAAGTCCATTCCTGGTCAAACTTCTTCAGACTGTAGAAGGGTCAACTTGGCATCCTGATGAAGCTGCCAGATGCTGAGCCAGGTCCTTGGTGGACTTCTTTCAGTCTGAGAAACTTCTCATCAGATTTTGAAAGTTTTCTTGGCCTTCCAGTCCTTGACTTCTTCTGATTCTTCAAAATTATTTATAACAGCTTGAATACCACATATTGTGTATCCTTTCAGATACACTGATTGATTTTGCTGATTTTCCTTTCAGAGTGGCCTTGCTGATGCAAAATTATGATTTTTTTTTGTCTATCAAATTGTGGTCTTTGGCATTTTGAATGGGATTGAAATTTAGTCGTATACATATTACCAATCTTCCAAAGGATTATACTCATACAACACGTGTATGTAATGCTGAAGCATGTCTTGCACAAACCTACTATTTTATGTCAAAGTGACTGTTGTGAGAAAGGTCTAATACCTTTTACACAACAGTAATTTTGACATGAAACAGTAGGACAAATACATGTGTTAGCAATGACATTAATTGGGGTTCCATTCCATTTAGGTTTAAGTGTTAGGAGAGGTCACACTAAATACTTTGTCTTTTTTAACATTGCATACAAATTGTGTGTATATCTGGTTGTATTCTAATCAAGAGACTGATAAATATTTATATATGGTCATATATATTTCACAGATGAAAATAAATCATACAGGTTTGGAATAATATGAGGGTGTGTATGATAACAAAAAGTTCATCCGGTTATCATTTTATCCATTTAATTATTAATACAATTAATTAATACAAAGTATCTGTCTGTAAAACAACTTTTTTATGAAATTTATAGTAATACACATTGGAGGGAACCCTAAAAGACATTTAGGTTTCTTTTGGCCTTTATAAAGCTTGTTTTTATGGTTGTATTTTTTTTTTAGCATCAAATTTTGAGAAGGTCAGATTTTTGTTTTTTTTCATCATCAAATTTTGAAAAGTACAGAAATGACTCCTCTGTTGTTCTGCTCTTGTTAAAACAACAGCAGACATTCAGCACCATGGACAGCACAGATGTAAGCATGGAAAGAAGAAACCAGCAAGAGAGCATTGCTGATGGCACATAGAGAGGCAAAACAGATGATGCAAGAGTAAGTTCAGGGTTAAAGCACTCACACTTGTCTACTTCTGGAGTAGAGAAGAAATTATCCAAGAAATCTCTCATCATGAGTAGGTCTTTTGCGTCTTAAGAACTGTCTAACAACCTCACTTAAATTGCATCAGAGAGGTTTCAAAAGTCAAACATCATATTATACTAGTCAACATTTGAAGTAGATCAAAACCTTTCACTAAAGTTGTCCTACAACCTAAAACCAAAATGCGTTCTTGTCTTAGAAATACACACACACACACACAGTATACATACTTCAGATCATTTATTTAAAATAAAATACAATTATTTTCTGACCCCAAAGTTTAGAATGGTAGGTACTGTACATTTTTGCCATAGGATTTCTGAACCTCATCTATCTCTCTGTGTTACCATTACCACTATACAAAACATTTTTTTAGTAAATAGCTAACAAAATTCCTATTCTATTCATCTAGCCGTTCTGTGTGAAGGGGTGAATAGGAAACCTTTGCTATAGAGGGGGTGACACAAGGAATGACAAACCAATCTATCTCCCAGTGGAATAAAGCTAACAAGGTTCCATTTATGATACTATAAAATAGCAGAGAATGAATGTATGTTCCTTCACCCTAAGGGGGGATAAAGCTTAAGACCACATTTTTGCTTTTATGACGGCACGTCTTAGGAAAGACTCTCAGGGTAAGTCTTTGTGCCTCTTACAGAGCTAAGCACCATGGAGGTTCAGGTGGTCTTTCAGAGAGCAAGACCAAATAACTTCACAGCTCAAGGCTTAAAGGTAAAAAAAAAATGAAAAAAATACATTTTTATATACCAGGGCAATGTGCAGAGACATTCTGTTCTGTACGATTTCTAAAAATTCTCCCTAGCAGAGTACCTGTTTATGATAGAAAAAAAAAATGACTACAATTATTCTGAGGGTATAGAAGGTATCTAATTCAGTATAAGGATATAAAAAATATAATGGGATTTAAAAAAAATACTAAAATATAATGAGCTAAAATATAATTAATAATTTACATCTACCCATTTTTGACATCTTTTCTCCTCTTGATTCTTTATTCTGAGTTATAAATTCCTACCTCATATATTGAGTGTTGCAATTTTCAAAATTTTATAAAGATATGAATCAGTAAATTATGTCTTCAGGCACTTTATTCAAAACTACATTTTGGTTGCTGCACTGGTCTTCATACCCAAATCATCTCAGTTGTGTGATTCAAGCATATAAACACCTAAAATAGGTGCTCTAAGATGTAGACCAGTGCCAGTCACTGCTCTGGATGAGGTCAGCATGTAAGGTGGCCTTAGATTATGCACACACACACACACACACACACACTTGCTTTTGAATTCATACATTTCAAGCGAAAGCCTATATTTTCAAGGAAGCTTTGGTGGAAAGAGCATTGCCAGTTGCTGCCAAACAGCTGTTTGTGCATGACTACACTCTTAAAAATAAAGGTGCTTCATGATGCCATAGAATAACCTTTTTTTTTTTTTTTGTCTAAATGGTTCCATAAAGAACCTTTAACGTCTGAAGAACCTTTTTGTTTTACAAAAGGTTCTTTGTGGTGAAAGAAGGTTCTTCAGATTATATAAAGGTAAGAGAACCTTTGACTAAATGGTTCATTGTAGAACCAAAAATGGTTCTTCTATGGCATCGCTGTGAAGAACCTTTTAAGCACCTTTATTTTTAAGAGTGTATGGAGAATTTGCCCTGCATGCCCCTGAATCACATTTAAACACAAACACAAATACTGGCTTTCATTGCCTTTGCTACTGTGCCCTGTGATGCATGGTTAACACACATTTATTATCTCAAGGACAAACACATATGCTGAAACACCCACATATAGAAAATATCTGTAGACTGTATAGTGCGATCTGGGCTTGTAACCAAAAAGCAGCGAGTCTGAATTCTGCATTAATGTAGAGGTGTTCAGTATAGAAGGTTGTTAGAACTATGAGCACAAAGGTATGATAAAGTTGTTTGGTTTTATAATAGTCCCTGAATCACCTAATCATCATCTAATAATCATAAACCAAAACCTAAATTAGACTCAGGTGTGTTTGGAAGCCCATACGGACTTAACAACAGATGTACAGATTTGACTGTTCCTTAAGCTAGGAATAAAAGTGTAAGTGTAATTTCATTCAATATCTCTTAAGTGTCTAAAATAATTTTATGTAATTTGGCTGTGCTCACAGGGGGAAAACACACACATTGTAATGTATTAACAGGGATAGCTGACTAACATCACAGATGCAGTTTAAGCATGAATTACTATTGCAGTTTGGTAACATTTTATAGTTAGGTTCTTGTTAATGTGAGGATGTGCACTGATATACGTAGATGCATTCCAATTGACTGCACGTATTCTGGCTGCATTGACGAAAGTTAACATTGCACAACTGCAGACGCAGAAAAACCCACTTTTGAGTCAACAACAAAAAAAAAAAACATGAAACATGCTTCTCATGTAAAATATCGTATTTAATATACAAATATATTATACAAAGTATATTATAACAATATTCTATTATATATTATAACAAAAAAAAAAGTTTTCCCCCTGCTTATAGCACCAGTGGACTGTTGTGAAACACTTTCCAGATCATTTATTAATAAAATATTATTTAATATAAGTTAAAATGACTTGGAACACAGTTTGCATACATATATCACTGCTTTGCTTACATACACACATATGCATATACAGTACCGACAAACATTTTGCACTGTGAGGAATGAGATTATACTGCTCACACTCACAAAGTACTGCTGATCCCAGCTGACAAATGCCCTGCACTGATGTCTGGATAACATCCAATCTCACAGTGGCCTTGGGCGGAGTGGAATATGATTGGTTGCCATCCAGACTCAGAAATCTGAGTATTAAGCATTAAATCCAGCCTTATGATTAGTGCCAGTCTATAATGTCCTGCCCTGAGAACAATTGCCAAGACACTTTAGCAAAAACATTTATGAAGTTTCCACAAAACAAACATTGCAGAAGATTTATTTGATGCAACTTTGTAAAGTCTGTGTTTTTATGGTAAAAACGACCATTGTAGAAGATTTATTTGATGCTATCCTTTACATAAAGTTTTATTTTGTGGCTTCCATAAATCAATATAAGCAATGTGATTTCCAAGCACACAACAGATTGTTGTGTGTAAATTATTCTCTCTTCAAGGGCCAAGCCTCGCTAGGCTTGGTTGCACACACAGGCACACACTTGCATGCTCAACACAAGAAAATAGAAAGAAAATGGAGAGAAAGTCTTGTCTGATTGGTAATAGGTTATTGATTAGCGAGTCAGTCCAATCCTATGGTTTGTTGGCAGTTTGAGCTCAACTAGCCAACCTGTTCTAAGAGCAATCAACAAAATAAAATGCTGACAAAAAAAACCTGAAGACAAATAAAATAATAATGTTGCTAAAAAATGCATATTTATTGATTTATTTCATTCTTTGAGTCTGATGAGTTTACTTTAAATGACACTAGTTATGTCATTCTCTGCTGACAATGTAAAAGTTTCTACACTGTATTGAGCTAATATATTCCTATTGATTCCATAACCACAGCCTGTAAGACACATCACACACAATGAAATTCACATGCGATATAGCAAAACCACACAGTAATACAGAAATTGGCTTACAAGATGTGAACTTCATGTTTTAAAGATGAGCTAAACTACATCAGACAGGTGACAGTACTGTCAATGTGAGTTTTATATTATATATGATGAATAATAGAATGCATTTTTCTGAAATGTTCTTGAGAGGCAAGCTTAAAATGACGGTTTGACACGCACTGCTGTTTAACATTGCATGTTGAATCGCTTGATCTCTGGGTCTACATCTTATTAAAACAATAGTTCAGCCAAAGATTAACATTTTGCCATCATTTATCCACCCTCGTGTCATTCTTAACCCTTTCTTTGACTTCTTTTTTCTTCTGTGGAACACAGAAAAGAGAATATGTATGGTCTTCTGAATCCATATCATAGTTTCATGTGAGAAACAGACCAAAATATTAAATTATACACTAAATATTCACTAAGGTAAGCAAATAATAAAAGTGTAAACATCATTTTCATTCATTTATTATGTGTCTAAAACTACATAGTATTTCATGTTGTTTGACTATCTTTACAGATCCTATTCAAGCGTCAGTTACTTTTTGTTTAACACTGGTTAATGCCATGGGTATCATGAAGTGAAAATTAACATCATTTTCAAAGAATTTAAAAATATAGGTTAATCTTAATTAACAAATGTTAATAAAATACATTTCAAACTTTTTATTTATTATTTATTTATTTAAATATTTTGAAGAAAACATTACTTTTAAATAATTTACTATATAATTACACTTAACTACACTCTAAAAACAGCTGGGTTAAAAACAACCCAATTTGGGTTATTTTGGCAACCCAGCACTGGGTCAAAAAGGGACAAACCCAGTGCTGGGTTGCTTTTTTATGGTTTAAAATTACTACACTGCTAGGCTAAAATGAACCCAAATCGATCTAGACATTAAACCTACAAATCTTGTTCACTTTAAAATCACTTTTACAGACACAGAAAGACTATCAAAAGGTAAATATTTATTTAAAACAAGAGAAAAGTCAAAAGTAACATGCATTATAGGTTTGGAATGACATGAGGGCAAGTGAATGATTTTTTTTTGTGTGAACTATTCCTTTAAGAAAGGAAGACCAAGAATGATGACTCTCCAAATCAGACAACTCCAAAGTTGGTTTGAGTTCTGCAATGAAAAACACAGACATCAATGGGTTACATAAAATATGAACACATAATCATAACTGTTGTTGCATCAAAATGTGAGGTAAGCAGGCAGGAGACAACAGAAACATTTATTTTCTAAAAATATTTCTGAAGAAGCTGAGAAAATCGCCTCCTCACACAAGCAGGGTTCTGTGTTGTTAACTCCCGACGCGGGCACCATGAAGACACAAAGCTCAACATGTCAGAAATATAACATGCAAAACATTACTTTTAACAATGATCACTTTATCAGCCTCAAAATAATTAGGCTAGTCTTCATTACATAACGCCGTTTCCTTTAGGAAACTACATTCAATTTAACCGTGAAAAAAAAAGATAACGAATTAACATGTAAATATGTTAATAACCCTCTCTTAACACCTCAAAAAATGTAAATATTGTAAAATCTTATGTAAATATGACATAAGACACTCACTGACGTTATATTAAAAGCACCTCTTCCGTTCAGTAAAAGAGGCCGTTAAGACTATTTCTGAGGCGAAATCCGCATCCGCGTATTCTATATTCGTATTCTATATTTCCACCTTCCATGAAATCTTAAGATATTACCGGACTCAAACAATGAATGATGACTTTACATTTTTAATCTTTACTTACCATAAACCAGTGATGGGCAAACTTGGCCCTTCCAGGCCACTTTCCTGCAGAGATTTGATCCAACCCTGATATGACTCACCTGCCTGTAGCCTTCCAGTAGTCTTGAAGACAATGATTAGCTGGTTCAGGTGTGTTTGATTAGGGTTGGCGCTAACCTCTGAAGGAAAGTGGCCTGGAAGGGCCAAGTTTTGATGACTTTACATTTTTAATCTTTACTTACCATAAACCGTCTTTCACTCGCACTCGCTTCCATCTGAAGACGCTGAGAAAATGGCGGCTTCTCGCACTGGTATCGTCGAGATACGTCCGATGTTAACGTGACGTGCGTGCTCTCTTTCATGTCCGCGTTCCCAACCCAGCACCGCTGGGTTATTGATCAAGACCAATTTTCAACCCAAAATTGGGTTAAAACAACCCAAAGTCCTTACCCAGCGGTCTTAACCCAGCATTTGGGTTGAAAAAATAACCCAGCGTTTTTTAGAGTGTACTCCTTTAAGACTCTCTAAATCTACTGCAGTTTAAACTAAATGCACTGTATTTACAAAGAACCGGTTTATGCAGTTTCATTATATGCATATAATTACAATTACGTAAACCTACTATTAACCTAAATATATTCAATGACAATGCAAGCACCTTCATACACATTCATACACACATTCATCTTGTCATCTTTCAGGCCCACACTCCTGTTAATTATGAGCAAGCTTTTTATAGATTCAAGCCGCTGTGTGGCTTTACAGCAACATAAAATAATGCATCACTTTTCCAAGAGTATTTATCACGCTCTCAGCTAGATCTTTGCTCAGATCCCAGTGTGAGCACACCACAGGGACTATTTGTCACTGTAGTACTGATCAAACTCCTCCTCTTTAATACTGCTTATCTTCCCCTATTGATCTTCATTTTACTGCCTCTCTATTGATACCAGGATGCTGTAAATGAGTAGTCCACATAAAATCTTTTGATCCTCTAAGTTTTGCTGTGCAGGAAATGATCTAGAAACCATGCACCGTTAGTTTGTTGTTTTATCATCCTCATGGGGAGATCTGGAGATCTGGAGGCTTATCTATAATGGTAGAGCAAGCACACACACATGTTACAATATATACTAGGAACATAAAATGGGGATGAGCAAGCAATAAAAGTGTGGATCATGGGGAGAGAAAACATAAAATGAGCCTTTTCATTTGTTCCTAGTCTTGCATGTTATATCACAATAATTGATCATGGAATTTGTATATCACAAGGGTGTAAATATTTGGGTAAACAATAAAACAAATCAACTCCATTCGAGATTCATAGGTTTTTCAAAGTTAGAATGATTCAATTCACAATGAGATTTGATTAAATTCTCATTTTGATTAATTATTAAATTCTGTAGTTTTTAAGTGCATTCATAGTAGGGGTGGGTGATATGACCAACATTTCATTTCACAATAGAAACAAAGGAAACAAGGGGAACGAGGTCTTCATTTTAATGCTGTAACTTTAGATGTAAGTGAAATTTCATAATTCTTGATTGCAATTTTGATACCAATGGCTAATACTAGCCTAATATACGGTAAGTAAAAGGTTGTTTCAGTAGATAATGTAGAATATTTAAAATATAGAAAGATTCTGAGAAAACTTTCAGTCCCTGGAAAAGGTGTCAAGCTACAATCACCCTAGAGACAGTCAAAGTAATTAGTACTTGTGGGGATCAGAAATAACCCTAGGAGTAACATCTGCACACTTTCTGCACTGACTAATGACAGTCTTCATGAATCACAGAAATCACAAAAGAGGCACTTTGCTAAATAAAAAGCACTGCTTTCCGTAAATAATATTGCTGTCCATTTTAACTTTGTTAAACACTGAGCAAATTATTTTTCTCAAGAATGAGTGTGTATTCAGGAAATGTAATAGCTAAAGATAATGGTGAATAAAACAGTCCTGAAGACTGTCCAGGACTGGCTATAGCTAAATGAAAAGTTTTCTGACCAAAAACATCCAAATTGTGATTGAATAATGATGAGCCCAACATAGCAATATCTTGTTGTAAACAAAAATGCACATATACTCTAACATTACCACAATACATAATATCATAATATTCATTCAATTCTTTCAGCATAACATACAGTATATTTCAAAAGTTTTGAGTTAGAAATATTTTTATTCAGCAATGATGCATTAAAATTATGTTCACATCATTCAAAAATAATAGACAGATAGATAGATAGATAGATAGATAGATGATAATTTAAACATTTAAGAAAAAATTAACACTGCATATTCCATACTGTAAAGTATGTAGCCTAGTAGATCTATACAGTAAATACCGTGGTGGAATATGCGGTAAGTATATATTAGCACCTAAACAAGCAGTCTTCAGATATTAAATCTTATCACATTCTGGAAAGCTGAGGAAAGACACACAATGCTGAATAAATGTGCTCAATAAACCTGTGAATGAATATTTTATTGACAACATATGGAGAAAATATGGAGAAGCTTAGATAAGATAGCATTTCTACCAAACACCTTTATTTTTACTTGCTCCAAAGTGTTATCAGAGACATAAATCAACAGTTTATCTCAATAAAGCAGTAATTTTCCTTTTTTTGCCCTAAGAAAAGAGTGGAAGCAAATCTCCAGCAAAGGTTGTGCATCACTTTCTAAATCTAAAACGGAAAGATTATTTGGATTTATCGTTGTTAGCGGTCTCTGGGATTTCCTGCCCAGACTTCATTTCTCTTCAGTCGCGCTGACACGCTCTTATCACCTCTAACATTTACCTCCGCAGTCCAGGTTGTACCCCAGGCTCTGCTAGCTAAACACCCAATGGCTAGCCTGCCCTTTTACACATGCTACATAGCCCCCGGCTAAATGTCATTAGTCGCCGATGAGGATCAAAGCTAAAATGGTCCACTAGCTTGTGTAATGTCAACGTGTAGCATTAATTAAAACCGTGTCTGTTTTTAATTAATTTCACTAACCGAGAGGGGTAGAGTTGATCCCGGTCGGTGTTAGCGTCCATGTCACCGTGTAGCAGCAAACGAGATGAGGTATTCGAAATCTCTAATGGCGACCACTGGAAATTGGTAGAAGGCTGTGGTGATGTGAGATGTTAAGATGCAGATAGTGTTTGTATTTATTTGCTTAATTAACTGTGGCTCATTGTTATGGAGACAGTGACCCCAATTAGCTACGGCCCAAAATATTTCAGGTAAACACAAACCTACTTGGTGATGTTCCATCAAAAGTCCATAAGCAACAGTAATATGAATAAAAATATATGCCCTGAGTGATTTCATGTTCAGATCAGATCAAATTTGATCAAGATAGTGTACAAAACAGTAATGTTGTGATATTTTAAATATATATTTTAAAATGTAATTTATTCCTGTGATGGCAAAGCTGATTTTTTTAGCAGCCATTATTTCAGACTTCAGTGTCACATGATCCCTATATGAATCCATCTAATATGCTGATTTGTTGCTCAAGAAACATTCTTCTTATTACTGATGTTTTGAAAACAGTCGTGCTGTTTTTTTTTTTATTAACTAATTTTTTTTATTTTTTTTGGAAATCTTTTTTTTTTCAGGATTCTTTGATGAATAGAATTCAAAATCACAGTATTTATTAGAAATGTAGTACTCAAAATTGTTCACACCCTTGGTAAATATGATCAAAGAAGGCTTTAAAAATAAGTCTGCATAGTTTATCCATTCTTTCATTCAGAAATAATAATAAAATAAAAAAATCCTAACTTTTAATTGAAGTAAAACCAAAAAAAAAAAAAGTCAAAGTGGGGGAAAGTCACATTATGAAATAAATATTATTCTCTACAATGGCCACAATTATTGGTACCACTAGACATTATTATGACTAAAATATCTTGTATATTGAAGTATATTGCCATTCATATTTGCATTTTTTATCAGACAAGGGTGACTAGGAACATGGAATTATCCAGCCATGGTTTCCTGTTTCAAAGGAATATAAATATGAGGGAAAACAAAGACCAAATTCCCTCAATACTCATTGATCACAATGAGCAAAATCAAATAATATATTTCTGATGTGCAGCAAAAGATTGTTGAACTTCTTTATATAAATCTGTTATCAATATCTGTCACTTTTGAATAATTTTTTGAAGCTTTGCTGAATGAAAGCATGAAAAAACGTTACTGACCCCAGATTTTTGAATAGTAGTGAACATATATTCATACAATCACATGTTGAGGGCTGTACATTATCAAGTCCACGTACAAAACATTTGAAGTCATATAACAGCACTGCTGTGGAAACTCACTGTGAGTTATATTACATGTCACAAGCAGTTGATGTCATCTCTTCATCTGTCGAATAGCATCATGTTGCTATCATATGCCCTCGTAAACACGGTGCCCACCCCTCCTGTACGCAAAAACAATAATAATGTGCTTTGACAGAACAGATTGTGCGACACTAATATAAATAAAGAGACTATCACTCTTCGTTATGCCTGCTGCTCTCTGATCACACATCTGCCTTGTGTTTAGATGTTGGGTTACGTCTTGGCGAGCCGCATGAGGCTCGCGAGCCGCGCAATGAGTAACACTGGTCTAACCAATCACAGCTCAAGTAGAGTTATCCAATCACATTACAATGTTGGGCTTGTTCATCGAGCCAATTAAAAAGAGAGGTGGGATGACATTGCTAAGAGCTGAGAGGTAATTGCAGAGGTAACCTGTGCCCACAAGGTTTTTGAGAGTTTTTGTGCATCTGAGAGAGAGCGCGGAGAGAATAATTGATATTCTCCGTCATTCCTGGTTCCTGAAGGTCTGAACAGTCCCCATGTTTTATCATCCTAAAATGTTGTTAAATGTTAATGGGAACCTATTTTTACATGGGTCATTCCACCACACTCTCAACCCCCCTGAATAAAACATTAGTACTAACACACTGGCCAATGCTTGAATCCCTTGCTCTATGATTGCAGATACATTCAGTGTTTGGGATGGATGACTTGTGTTTACTAGCTGAATTGTCCCGTTTATTCAGTATCTTACAGGAGCGACTTAAATACTCTCTTTATGGCGTCAAGCTACTTTTCTGTTCTCGTACCAGCCAGAAATAACACCTGTAGTCATGTTAGTGAGAGCTGCCATTCTCGATGGCGCCGACGGTGATGGCTGCCTCCGTGGCGTGCTCCGCAGTTGTTTTTATGTTTTTGTTAGTTTGTCCTGTCTTTAGTTATATCCCTGCAATCAGTTTCACCAGAGACGAATTGCCACATACTCAGTCTACACCTCAAATTTGCACATAATATACAGTACCTGTACATACAAAACTGTCTATTGTAATATACCTGCACATACAATTGTCGATTTATATATTTTTATTCCTTATTTACTTGGTTTAATGGTTAATGGTTTAATTTTTTATTATCTGTGTTTTTTTGTTCTGTCACTGTCATTCTGTTACACTGTGGAAGCTTCTGTCACGAAAACAAATTCCTCGTATGTGTAAACATACCTGGCAATGAAGCTCATTCTGATTCTGATTCTGATTCTGATTCAAAGATGGCAACTTCCATAACATCAGGAATTAACTGTGTTTGGTTAATGAGCACATGTTTACCAATCTCAATTTGCAAAAGTCTTCACAATTTACAATTACATAATAAAATACCCCAATTATTTTCCTCACAATATTGCACTAATATCAGAGATGTGCCTGAAGCTGAATAACAAATTCTATGGAATAGTAGATATATATCCAATAAAACATGTTTAAAAAACATAAATAAAATTGATAACTATAATGTGAAGTTTAGGAATAAAAATTGCACATTGTGGGACTGTGCGAAGGCAAAGCTAAATTTTCAGCGTCATTACTCCAGTATTCAGTGTCACGGGATCTTTCAAAAATCAATCTATGATCATGTGATGCTCAAGGAATTCTCATTAATATCACAATTAAAAACACTGCTGCTTAATATTAACTAGTATAAGCTGGGATACTTTTTTTATTGATGAATAGAAAGAAATAAACCTTCTGGGTAGTAACCCAAATGCTGGGTCAAAACAACCCAATCGCTGGGTTTGTCCATATTTTACCCAATGCTGGGTTGTGTTTAACCCAGCATTTTTTTGTGTATATATAAGATATATATATATATATATATATATATATCTTAAAGACCCCATACTTTTGAATGGTAGTGCACATATTTTTCACTTCTTGAAATGTGTATTTTAATTTGTTTTGCTATCATAAAATGTTATTATGTTTATACTGTATGTCTGCTTCTAATAATGTTAAAATATATATTCATCTAAGTTTGTTTTAAAATAATTGTATACATTATACAAACATATTTGCTATGTGAAAACTATAGTTAATAGGTTTTGATTAAAGCCTACATATGGTTCTAACTGAAAACATATACAGATAATAGGAATAATAGGAATATAATATGAACAGGCAAAACATCTAAATAAACTCTAAAACTAGTTTTATGATGCATGCGAGAGATTGAAACGTGCAGTCTCTTGTGGATATGTTGGCTCTCTCTTGTGCATTTGCTGCATTTTCAGTTTCTCTCATTCTCCACTAATCAGCAAAAAAAGTGAGCAGCTCTACCCTTATGAGTATGTGGATTGTGTTTAGACTCCTGGGAAGGGATTTACAATCATTTCAACAATTCCTAGAGAATCTATCAATCATCTTGTCTCAACATTTGTTTAAGGATGAAATAAAAGCGGATATTACTAAGGGGAGGAGAATGAGAGAAAACATCCTATTCCTCCTACATCATACAGCGTGTGGAAATAATGCCTACAACAGGAAACTTTTGTCTAATTTTAGCAACTCCCAATACAGACATTCTAGCAACAAGGCCACAAGGGAGTACTATAGAGAAAGAGTGGGAGAGAAAGAGGGAATGATAGATAGTGCATATAAAGAGAGCATGGGAGAGAATGGTTGTGCAACATTCACAAGAGACAGAAGGTAGGGAGACAAAAATAAACTTTTGTCTTTGTGCCTATTGTGACGTATGCTTAGAACCTGAGAGGAACACTTATAAAACATGCACAATACCTTTGTTATTATACACCATGACCATATAAGCATGCAAACACACACATACTTCAGGCTTTTAATGAATTAGCTTGTCCTAATGACATTACCACTGTAACCTGACTAACTCAGCTTTTTATACAAAGCACAGAGGGATATATGCTGAAAAGACATCCTTAAATAAGCACTGCAGAGTCGCTGTGACTTTACCACTAATGGCAAGAGATCTTGCTTTACCCTGTTCGTATATCCTGTTTCCTGTCCTGAATCTTGGTGAAAAACAAGGAAACAGCTTTGCATGTATCAGCATAATAATTTCAGCTCAAGAACTAAACTGATTTTGCAAAATAAACGAAACTATAAGTGATGAAATACATGGTTAAATATAAAGCAGGATTAGATGTACTACCATTCAAAACTTTAGGGTCAGTATTTAGGACACAAACTGGAAACGCTAGGGTTTTGTTGACTTCAAGTTGGCAATTTAGGATTGAGCCTAAATATTTCTAACCTTTTGTTTTGACAAAGTACGAATTTAAATAAAGCTCGCGTCCCAGCAAGCCGACCCTGCCTTCTTCCTTCCACACTCCTGAACCTTTACTACAGTACGGTTGTGATTTCATAACTGCATGGCCAACCAGGAGTAGAACATAACTCAAAAATCATAATCAGTTCATAAAGACATTGAGACCAATCGTTTATGATTTTCAACTGTTAATACGTCAGTCTTGTCCTCAACACAGGGTCAAGAAAAATACAATTTCTGAATAGCAGCAGGCAGCTATTTTGAAGTCTGATTCAAATTCAAACATTTATGCAGGTTATTTGTCAGCCCAACAATGTCATAAAAATTTAAGTGTGTTTACTTGGTAGATAAGAATATATTCAAGCCCAAACCCATTTTCAGTAAAGTGCCATTATATAAAATGTAGATTTTGTTGCTATTTGCTGTCTTCAAACCGCTTTTATTTTTGTATTGCTATTTTTAAAATCCCCTTCCTTTTTGCTGGGTTTAGAGTTGTAACTTTAAGGTTTTTTTTTTTTTTTTTTTTTTTT